TGGATTTCAAACTTGACAGGTGTCTTGCTACGAGCACGAGTAAGTGCACTGCCAAGTTTGACATTGTTTGGATTAGAAATGCAAAAGATATCATTAAATATATCGGTAAAAGAAGCATACATTTGGCTTTTGTCACTCTAGCCGCTGGCCACTCTGGCTCACACTGCACACCGAGGCCACCCCCCTCTCACACTGCACACTGAGCCCACCCCCCTCTCACACTGCACACTGAGTGGCCACTCCCCCTCTCACACTGCACACTGAGTGGCCACTCCCCCTCTCACACTGCACACTGAGTGGCCACTCCCCCTCTCACACTGCACACTGAGGCCACCCCCCTCTCACACTGCACACTGAGCCCACCCCCCTCTCACACTGCACACTGAGTGGCCACTCCCCTCTCACGCTGCACACTGAGTGGCCACTCCCCCTCTCACACTGCACACTGAGTGGCCACCCTCCTCTCACACTGCACACTAAGTGGCCACTCCCCCTCTCACACTGCACACTGAGTGGCCACCCCCCTCTCACACTGCACATTGAGTGGCCACTCCCCCTCTCACACTGCGTGGCCACTCCCCCTCTCACACTGCACACTGAGGCCACTCCCCCTCTCACACTGCACACTGAGGCCACCCCCCTCTCACACTGCACACTGAGTGGCCACTCCCCCTCTCACACTGCACACTGAGTGGCCACTCTCCCTCTCACACTGCACACTGAGGCCACCCCCCTCTCACACTGCACACTGAGTGGCCACTCCCCCTCTCACACTGCACACTGAGTGGCCACTCCCCCTCTCACACTGCACACTGAGTGGCCACCCTCCTCTCACACTGCACACTAAGTGGCCACTCCCCCTCTCACACTGCACACTGAGTGGCCACCCCCTCTCACACTGCACATTGAGTGGCCACTCCCCCTCTCACACTGCGTGGCCACTCCCCCTCTTACACTGTACACTGAGGCCACCCCCCTCTCACACTGCACACTGAGTGGCCACTCCCCCTCTCACACTGCACACTGAGGCCACCCCCCTCTCACACTGCACACTGCGTGGCCACTCCCCCTCTTACACTGTACACTGAGGCCACCCCCCTCTCACACTCCACACTGAGTGGCCACTCCCCCTCTCACACTGCACACTGAGGCCACCCCCCTCTCACACTGCACACTGAGTGGCCACTCTCCCTCTCACACTGCACACTGAGGCCACCCCCCTCTCACACTGCACACTGAGTGGCCACTCCCCCTCTCACACTGCACAATGAGTGGCCACTCCCCCTCTCACACTGCACACTGAGGCCACCCCCCTCTCACACTGCACACTGAGTGGCCACTCCCCCTCTCACACTGCACACTGAGTGGCCACTCCCCCTCTCACACTTCACACTGAGTGGCCACCCCCCTCTCACACTGCACACTGAGTGGCCACTCCCCCTCTCACACTGCACACTGAGTGGCCACCCCCCTCTCCCACTGCACACTGAGTGGCCACTCGCCCTCTCACACTGCACACTGAGGCCACTCCCCTCTCACACTGCACACTGAGTGGCCACTCCCCCTCTCACACTGCACACTGAGTGGCCACTCCCCCTCTCACACTGCACACTGAGGCCACCCCCTCTCACACTACACACTGAGTGGCCACTCCCCCTCTCACACTGCACACTGAGTGGCCACCCCCCTCTCACACTGCACACTGAGTGGCCACCCCCCTCTCACACTGCACACTGAGTGGCCACTCCCCCCTCACACTGTGTGGCCACTCCCCCTCTCACACTCCACACTGAGGCCACCCCCCTCTCACACTGAGGCCACCCCCCTCTCACACTGCACACTGAGTGGCCACCCCCCTCTCACACTGCACACTGAGTGGCCACTCCCCCTCTCACACTGCACACTGAGTGGCCACCCCCCTCTCACACTGCACACTGAGTGGCCACCCCCCTCTCACACTGCACACTGAGTGGCCACCCCCCTCTCACACTGCACACTGAGTGGGCACTCCCCCTCTCACACTGAGTGGCCACCCCCCTCTCACACTCCACACTGAGTGGCCACTCCCCCTTTCACACTGCACACTGAGTGGCCACTCCTCCTCTCACACTGCACACTGAGTGGCCACTCCCCCTCTCACACTGCACACTGAGTGGCCACTCCCCCTCTCACACTGCACACTGAGTGGCCACTCCCCCTCTCACACTGCACACTGAGGCCACCCCCCTCTCACACTGCACACTGAGGCCACCCCCCTCTCACACTGCACACTGAGTGGCCACCCCCCTCTCACACTGCACACTGAGTGGCCACTCCCCCTCTCACACTGCACACTGAGTGGCCACTCCCCCTCTCACACTGCACACTGAGTGGCCAATCCCCAAAATAAACATTCTGACATTAGAGGGTTGTGGTTTAAAAATATCTGAATATTATATTTTATTCACAGCCATCATTTGTAGAAGCCTATTCACAAACTGTTTGCTCAAGCATAACGTTTTCTCGGAGTTCACTGTGTAGCCGCTCCCTGAATTGTCGTGCTTATTCATTTGTGGATGTTAACTGAATCTGTAAGTCAGCTACACTGTTTAATTCTGAATATTATATTTTATTCTGGTGCGCTTAACGTTATCGTTTTCTCAGAGTTTAGGCTCCTGTGTAATAGTAGCCTAGGCTATTCAGCAACTCAAACATACCAAACCAATAATTAATAAAAACACAAAAACAGATTTTGCACGGGCATTGCACTAGTAACCCTTAATGCATGAATGTTTCGCCAATTATTATTACATATTCTGGTCTTTAGCAAACCGGATCTATATCTAACACTGATGGATGAATCTCTACCTGTTGCGATAATATAAAACTCTTCTGATATTATAGTAACAATTACAGAAGAACAAAATAAAGCATATTTTGTTACCTTTTGGAGCTTGGAAGGGTTCAGATTGAGCAGATGTTTTAACATCACTGTTATCGAGGTTATTTCAAAGTAGGCCTACATTCAGCATCTGGCTCATATTCTTCATCTCAAACATATTCTCAAAACTTATTTTTCAACATCTTCACCAGATCCACTGTTGTGACAGTGGCACTATTATTCAATTGTGTTCATACTTGCTCTGCAGTAAATCGCTGAGCCATTTCAAGTTTTGCTGATGATACTTCTTTTGTTTTCTGCCTGCGGTAACTGAATGAAACGTCTCTTCATCATTTTGTATGACATTGCCACCTTGTGGAATAAAGGTGGATTGCACTTATTCAATCATTGTGCAGAAAAAAAATCTTTACACGGTCACACATCTCGGATTGTTAGCGACCCTATACGATTTTTAAAGAAAATGAATGGGAAAATGGGCATTCTTTTAGAATTTTGTCATTTTTTTCTTGTTATATTGTTTATAATTAATTGATTGAGGAATACTAATAAGGTTGATGTCGAACTTAAAAAAAAAAATGAATGAGAGGGGGGTAGTGAATGACATCCGGGGTCACTAAAGACCCGAGGTAAGCGTTTAAGGGTTAGCAGTTTGTGTGAGCCTTAGGAATATAAACGCAACTGGGAATTTAATTCTTAAATTGTAATGTGAAGAAACACAAGCTCAAATACCACTTTGCCAGTACAACGTAATTGGATTTGAATGGAATATACAGACTTCAGATGGAAATATTCATATTGACTAAAGTGAGTTCAACATCACATAAAAAAAAGAGAAATTAAGCCATTTTTCAATGCTGTTCTTAACAGCCAGGGGCAAACTTAGAGGCGCAGACTTGCACCGTATGCGCCCGCCTCCATCCCAAGCCTGGACTTGCCCTGAGGCTTAAACAAAATACATATCACTCATTATGTCTCTATGCCTCATGAAAACCAAGTTGCATTGATACGAAGCATTAAGTGATGCTATGGATGCAGTTTTTACTCAAATGTCTTTAAATAGTGCGCAAGTCGCCGTGACGCTCGCTTCTCTCCTCGCGCAGATTGTTACGCGTGAATATCAGGAATTAATATGAGCAGGCCTTAGTATTCACAAACAGATTTGTCAACTAGACCTAAAGAACAGGAATAATACCACTAAAAACTACAAATCACAGCAGGCTGGTGAAGGATGTGCCAAGGTGAGGTGACGAAGAAAGAAAAAAATAATAAAAGGAAAACAGGCTGTTTGGCCTTCACGCAGGATACAACAAAGTACCTCTGATGTTAACAGTGTGCCAGAACGATGTTTATGTTGTGTGGTTTGCTGCTGGGGGATTTTACCAGCGCAGGTTATCATCAGACAGCTATAGACAGACAGAAACCGTTTTAAGGGGCCTTTTTAGAGATGTCTTGTCTCCAAATAAGAGATTTTGTATTCATCAGATATACTGTAATAGGAGGAAAAAACAAGTCTTACTGCTGCTCCCCTCAGAAAGTCCAGAAAACCAGACTTAAATAGATGCACCATGCACACAATCTTTAAACATAACTTCCAACAATACAGGTGAATGGCGGACAAATTTAAAAGACAACACTTTATAAAGCAGTGTGGAGGAAGCATTATAGCTTCCAAGGTCTGCATAAACACCATAAACTTGAAATGTGGTGACTGAAGGTAAAAAAAAAAATGCACCAAAATGTATAGATTTAACTCATCACCATGATGCCAGGGTGTTGCAATCCAGAAAATAGGGTATTATGATTCTAACTAAGTTAAACTTTTTGGTTCTTATATATGGCTGGCCTTCTTTAATCAATAAGTATCACACTACTTAAGGTGCATGTAATACGGTGTTTATGTTAATACTTAGTGTTTGTGCTGTAAAGTCCGTCTCATACACCTTTAAGAAGGGGTTAAATAAATAATTAAAGCGCAGTTAGAGTTAGCCTGTGCACAAAATTCACAAGTGTGGATACCCTGAAAATTCACAAACACATTCACAAAATGTGACTGCACATTTAAGCTCCCAACCCATTTTATGAAGCAGAAAATTCAGAACGTAAAATAAAGCCACAAAAATAGACTCGAGAACACAAACAGCTTTATTACTTGTACAACAGAATTAGCAGACGTACAGTGCATCTCTATATAAATACAGTGTGTGCAATGTAAGCACACGAGTATGAATAGGCTTATCAAGGTTCTGCAGGCTTGGTCCAGACATTCTTACACAAAAACAGGGGTTGTACTTTCCTCTAGCCAACCTAAGATCACAGCAGCTGACCTCTGAATGTACACGATCTATGATTCTCCAAACTCCAAGTCCATTTCTTTTTCCATTTGTCTCCTACAATTCCGCCTCTACTTTATCACAAACCGCATCAGCATTTAAACTTCAGGGCCTTTTCAATCAGTCAATTCTGGTGAACAACTGCACAAGCTAATCTGGTCCTGCAGCATTTTTAAAAAATGGGGGGAAAAAAGTTTTTTTTTGTGAAATTAAATGGCAGAAATACAAAATGGGGAAAAACAGCAACAGAAAAGAAAAGAACAAAAATTAGTACACACGATACTGTAATAAACTCAAAAGAAGCCACACAATGGCTGTGGGATTTGTTCTATGTAACTATAGCAGTTCTTCTACTGTGCAGCCATCTTCCTTATGTTGATGATCAGCCGTTTGCTGTATTCTCGGTGGTCCACAGGCTTGGCATCCACCACTGTCACTTTAATGCGAGATTCATCCTATGAAGACAAAACAAAAGGGATTACAATCCATGTGCCCAAATTTTACAACTCAATCCCATTCAAGAGTAGTTGTAAATAGGGATGTCCTGATCGAGTTTTTTGTGCCCTCAATCCGATCCGAGTCATTGAATATTGAGTAGGCATATTGAATATGAAAATTTTGGCCGAGACCAGCAACAGATAATTCTTTATATTTGAAAGCCGATAACCGATATATTGGCCGATAAATCTAAATCCTAATTTTTATATAATTTTTGAGCCTGATTACAAAAAAAAGTCTCACCATTAAAAACCACGTCCCAAACACACAATTATAATCTTCTCATATGACAGACTTGCGCTGCACATGTTGCACTGAACTGTATTTTAATTTTTGCAGTAATTTCAATCATATTTCAAGCAATTTAAAACCATCATGTTGAACAGTGCGCATCTGAAGCATCTCAGCTGAAGAAAATAACCCATTATTTATCAGCTTTAATAGGCCAAATTTTCTTATCGGGCCGATAACAATAACATTAAAAATTAACATATATCGGCCGATACCGATATATGGTGGCCAATATATCGGGCATCTCTAATATTGAGTATCTGCAAATACAGAGTCCCGATCCCGATTGTGAATAATATGAGACTACTGATATAAACTTCTTGTAATTTATTTGAACAATAAGCAAAATTGCTAATTGAAAAGAAAGTGGATTTAAGGTTAGAAAGCATGAAGCTCGCATTGCCAGAATGCCAGTCTGTCAGCCAATGGCTGCACGACAGCTGGCGTAAAATAAATGATTTGGCTTAAGATAGCCGAAACGGCTCAGTTAAATAAATGCTTAAATCGCCCCGATACCAATCCTTGAGATTGGCTCGGGATATCCCTAGTTGTAAGCTCTCTCAAGGGAACAAATGTTTTCAGTTTGAATATGATTTATGAAGCAAGTAGAAAAAGCTGAGATTTACCTGTAAATATAATACACTTTTTTTTTGTAAAAATGATGAGCATCTTCTAATAACCCCTGTGGAAATTCTTACCATCATTTGTTTAACCTAAAAACCCATTTAGCCACAACTGCAGGCATTAAACATCTTTAAATGTGATATTGGCTTAGAGACAGAAAGGGCAGACTAAAAGCAAATCTGCCATACATTAATAAGCTTTAATAAAGTTATTTTTATTAAAAACCATAGGATACAAAAATAAATCAAATGACATGAACCTGAATAAGAAGCATTTAAAAGATTCTTTTTTTTTTTGGCACTGCAGAACTAGGGTTTGCACAAGCTTTATTGCTGAATGCAGATGATGGGCAAAAAGACAATCCACTACCTGTATTTTAGCAATCTTGATGTAGTCATTTGTAGATTTAAACTTCCTTCTTGAGTCCTTGATTACATGAAACCCAACCAACCATATTAGAGCTGGGTATTTGCAAGGGCCTCGCGACATTTGTGTTCTTCGCTGAATTCAAGCGCTTCTCACTGGATCTCGTAACCGAGACCGATCCGAGTAAACGCATCTGCTCTAGTGAGTAGAGGCCTGCATTTCAGCCCGAGCCCGACGGGCCCCGACTTATTTATGCTCCTAGGGCCGGGCTTCGGGCCAATTTTCACGTCATAGTTCACACGCGGGCCGGGCCTCGGGCCTGTTTTAGGCTTATCTTTTTTATAGCCTATTTTAGACATTAATTAAAATAAAACATGAGAAGATGACGATTGAAAAGCAAACATAGAAAGACGTTTTATAACCTATCACACTGACATAAGACTGACACATGACAGTCTGCTCATGCTCACGCTCACGCACACACACACACACACACACAGGTTTCCCGGCGGCGCGATCTGAGATTCGCGCGACCGGCTCGTTCTAGTGTCCCGCTATGGTAGCGAGCGTGACTTCAGCGCAGCTGGAAAAAGTACGACTGGATTAAAACCTTCCACTGTGGATGCTGTGCTTTTTCTTCACGATGCTCTGAGACTGTTCTTAGCCATGTTAGGAGGAGGTTGTTTTTTGTTTGATTGGACTTTATTTTCATGAGTCTGTTGGAAACTATTGGAAATGGCCATGTTCTGTAGTGAAGACTTGATTTTTGAGGTAAGATAACCTGCATGTTTGTTTTTAATGTAATTTATTTGATTTGTTTAGATTGCATTCTCTGTATTGTAGCCTATATTATAAATTCATTTAGTTTGCGAGCGCTGTTGCGACTGAGCAGCAGAGCAGTTTGCCTCAGCTTTTCAAAAATGACAATAAACGTTTAAACTAACGTTAACTGTCTGTGTGATATGCTTAAGTTGTTTTATATCTATGGATTTTATTGTAGCCAAGTAAAGTGTTGATTTGAGAGGCTATAAATCAATCAATGGATCAAACATGTTTAACTCGCTGTCGGCTGCTTGGTCGTCATAAATTTTGTTTTTTGTTTTTTCTTAATTAACTTTATAAAGAAATGAAAATAAACCTACCGGTAAATACTTTGCCATTGAAAACAAAATATATCTGGTTGGTTTACTGACTGCAACATAGGTCAGGCTGTTTATCTTTTTTTTTTTTTTTTTTTTTTTACGGGCTCGGGTCGGACTCGGGCTGATCATTCTGATGAGCTGTCGGACACGGGCCGGGCTAGGGCCTGAGCGTCTCGGGGCAGGGCCGGGCTAGGGCCTAGATTTGAGGCCCGTGCAGGGCTCTACTAGTGAGCTCGCGCTGCGCTTTGGACTTTGAGCAGAGCGGATAAATGGTCGTGTGGCGCGCATTTCAAATGAGCTTCGTTCCGCTTTTGGCGCATAAACATTAATCGAACATTTATCGAACTCTTGAAATCATCGTTTTATCGAGAAAAAATGATATCGCGATAATTATCGTTTTATCGCCCAGGGCAAATTCATATTGATTAATAATTTCCACTAATTTTCCAGGTTTTTAATACTCCAAACAAACTCATGTCTGTATCTGGAGAAAATCCTAAATCGGATAAAATCCATATTTTTTTATACACCCAAGTTAAAGGTGACTTTCACGAGTGCTGATTGGCCTTGTATTCTGATTTTATTACCTGAACATGCAATTTTACGATCTCCAGCAATCTGATGGCTGGAAATTTGGATACTGATACAGCATTTCAGACGCATACTAATTTCCCTGCAGAATAATAAATCGCATTACACAAAGACCGACTGCAGTTTCGCTATATGTCCAACTCGATTAAAGAAATAAGCTAGCCAATTTAAGGCTATACATTATATGTAGCTAATATGGAATGTTAAAATTAAGTTGATTTGAAATTTGAGAAGTAACATGAAAATCAACTCAAGATTATCAGAAGGAAAAAAAGGTGATGGAAAAGAAAATAGCCCTGAGATGTTCTTTGCATTGGGTTTTGTGACCAGGTGTGTTTGAGGAAGGCAAATGAAGTAGGTGGGGGTTTTGGCTTCAGGTTCACAGAAACGATACAAACATCCTTAATATTCACAGCTAATCTGTCAATGGAGTTCTTACGCCGATCTCATGTAGCACGTCATGCGGAGAAAGAACAAGGCACAGAGCAATTTTCATCAGCAACGCTGTGATGGACAGGGTGGCAGAGATGCTGTGTCAATTTCCATAAATCTCAATCACATGAAAGGTGCAAAAAACATTGTGATACACGTTTTGTTGAACTTCAAAAAAAGATTCCTTCCACCCTGATCACTATGCAATTTTAGCAAATATTTTGTCTTGAAAAGTAACAATGAAAATAGAAAGAGATACAGCATGGGTTTTCAAAAAATTTCAGGCCAAGGACCCCATTGGTGAAGAGAGATGGAGCAGTTTGTTACAGTGTGCATAAAATGTGTTGCATTTTACATCTAGCTTCTAACATTAGGTCAGCACCAATATGAACATTTTGGCCGATACCACAAATTCTTTATATTTGAAAGCCGATATCCGATATATTCAAACTGAACAATACAGTTGCCTTGTTTGAACCAGTGTAAGATTCCTTAGCTTAAAAATAATTTTACACTGCGTTGGACAATTGTTTTTTAATAATCTATTGCCTTACAAAAAAAATTAAATAATGCCTAAATAATGCAAACATGTGATTGGAAAACACGCATGAAGAATAAAAATGCATTTGCCATGGATAAATAAAATGGAATAGCCTACGCACGGACAATGACGACATTATTTTAATTAAACCATATTGTTGATGAAAATAATATGAAAAAAAAGTTAGTTAATGCATCAATATTTTTTGAAAAAGAAACTAAATCTAAAATTAATATAACCGTTTTAAATGACAGCATTGCTGTTTGAGCTGCGCTGAAGTACTGAAGTGCTGTTAGCGGGTTAATTAACTCAAAACGCATCAGATATTTATAAAACAAACATAAAATCTTAAGTTACATGCTAGTCAGAATGTGTAATTCTCGATGTGGATGCGCTCTTCCCGTAACAACCCACTGTATGCAAACTAAACCCAAATAATTTACGTTGTGATGTTTAAGCTGCATTCGCTAAAGATGGTCATGCTTTACTACCACATGAACTAACCTTACCAAACGCATCCTATATAAGATCAGATATAGAGATATATATATATAAAATGTATGTAACTTATATGGCAGACTTGTGCTGCAGATGTTGCACTTAACTTTTGCACTTAATTGCACAGAGTGATTCCAATAATATTTTAAGCAATTCAAAACCAGAACAGAAGTGAAGTGAATCAGCTGAAGAAAAAAATCCATTATTTATCAGGTTTAATATATCGTCCTAATTTTCTTATAGGGTTGTTAATATTAAAAATGAACATATATTGACCAATACCCATATGATGGCCGATATATTGTGCATCCCTAAATAACATGCATATATTTATGTGCATTACTTTTCAAAAGTTTTAAAAGAAGTCTCTTATGCTCACCAAGGCATTCATTTGATTAGAAATGTAGTAGTATTTTGTCAAATATTACAATTTTTAAACTTCAGAAATCATTTTAGTATGCAGATTTAGTGTAATACAAACAATTCTCATTATCACTGTTTTTGCAGGATTCTCTGAATAGAAAGTTTTTCTTAAAAAACTAGACTTAATTTAAATATTTTCTAAAACATTATGAAAGTATGGTACTACTGTCACTGAATACATCTTTTCTATATACAATGATGACTTTATATTGAAATAGTTATATTTACTTTTACTTAATACATTTTAAAGTTTGAGGGACAATGAAACGAGACAACTTTTTTGGTTATTTTTTTCCTTAAAATATTAGTATTAGGTCAAACTGTAATTGGCCAACACCCAGCTGTACCTATATAGACCACATGCTGAAGGCCCCTGAGATGTTTTTATCAGCTAAACTTACATTGTAGGTCTCCAGCTTCACTCGGTTCCGGAAGACAAAAGTATTGAAGTTTGCATGCTGAAAGACCTCGTCAAATGCAGCTTCGTTCTGTAAAAGCAAGGCAAGACAAGACAATATTACAAGAGGCTTATAAACAAAACATTTTAAAATAACAATTTTTGTCTCTTAATATAGGACCACTCCATGAGAGATTGAATCAACCTCTCGGAGTAAGATCTCGTTAAAAATCCTTGGGCTTGAATGCCTAGATCCTAAACGCACCACAAAAAGAACTCCAAATTGATACACAATGTGCTGCTCTTCAGAGTGTCTCGAGGCCAATCCTCAAGGCCACACTTTTATGTACCATCAGGATGGAAAACATGGGAACGAAAAAAAGACAGGAAGAAGAAACTCACCGAGTCCTTGAGTTGGCCAAGATAACTTGAGTTTTGGCCCAGAAGGGTCTCAGCACTGTCCTGAAAGCAAGTCACCCATTGGTTGTCTCCAAAATCAGCGACGTTGGCCTGACAGAGAATGAGGGGACAATTAATAAAAAGCACAAAAGAATGAATTCACACCTAATTCATTAGAAGTCGCATCCAACAAAAAATCAGTAGATTTGGCAGTGAGATTCAGAAAAGTGAGACAGGCCCTTAACATCAGAGCCTCTAGCGTTAAAGACAGTGATGTGCTTTGTAGAAGAGACAAAAACAACAACAAAAAATGACTTTTCAACATCTCTGGAAGCCTAAATGGAGTTAATAACATTAAACGTCTATTTTTAAAACATTTTTGGCTGCAGACCAGCAGTAAGGATTTATTTGCCCATTCCTGCCCTGTCCCAGAATTCAAGATGCAGCTTTAAATACAAAAAGGAGCAATTAACAAAACACTGAGCTGATTAACAGCAAAACAGAAACAAAGTGGCCTCAAATGAGCGATGCATTTAGAGCCGGAAAACAGCAACAAACTCTGCTACCATTCATTTCAGAAATTACTATTTTCAGAGAGCATAAAGAGGATGGCAGAGATATTTATTTTATAGGACAACCAGAGAATACTAACTGGAGGAGCTCAATGTATTATTTCAGAAGGGGCAAAAGAGCCAAGGACAAGTCCCTTACCGAGAGCATGAGGCGATATTTGAAGTCTGGGAACTCTTTGTCACATTTCTCACAGCGGTACATGCCATTCTGCTGGTCCACCACCTTCTTGTTGCAGTCTTTACTGGGACAGGCCTGATACATGCAGTTCTCTTTTCGGATGTAGACTATGGTGGCGATGCAAGAGAAATAATCAGCCTGGGAAAAGACAGAAGACATCACAATTTAAGTTTATAGGATTTTTTTTTATAGAAGCATAAAAGGAGACATTAGTACTGTTTCTATTACAGTACTAATGTTTAAAGCCAATTCTATTAAACACAGTAGCAATTTATTACTATTTTGCACATAACGAATAGTAAAGACAGAGAGGGTGTGTCTAAACGTTTGACTGGTAATGTATAAAATCTTAAAAGTTTTAGTGATCTATGCAGGACTTGCATAACATAATATATAGAGTAAAAAAAAAAAAACACCTAGTTGCAAAATGGGTCAAGTAGAAAGCCATATAAAAACCCTATAGTTACATTGATATATAGACTTTTAAAAGTGGGATATGCAAAGCAGAGCATAATGCATAAACATAAAAAGGGCTTCTGAACAGGACTGGAGTCAGAAAGAAAAGAGCAGCCGTAGAGCACCTGGAGGGGAGGTCAAAGGCTCTGCGCTAAATGTATGCAGAAGAGACAATAGGAGTACAGGAAGTTCAAAGCCATTGGGGCTGGAGATGAAAATGGAGACAGCAATACTAGGAATTATTTTGTGCAGTTGCCACTTTCACCGAATACGGTACACTTTGGTGTCCCAATGACTTTTCTGAAAGCCTTAGAGGCACACCATGTTTTTGTTGTGACAACTATTAGATGAGCCAAATAAACTATCATCTAAAAAAATAACACCATAAGAGTTTTGCATGAGACGATTTGAAATCTTTTTAAACATTTAGTCATTGTAAGAAAAAAAAATTCAAATAATGCTCCCTTTAATATCTGGGAAATTTGTTTATCAACAACTACAAACCAACATTTGGTCCTAAACATAACCCCCAACTGATAGCTTAACGGGTAAAAAGATTAGAAAATTTGTACACCAAAAATAAAATCGCCATTTTTGGCCCTATTCTGTAGCCTTTTCCAGTCGATTAATTGGTCGATACGTTCTGGTTCGACCAAAATTCTGATTGGTCGATTTTTTGCCGCGTTCATTTCATCAGTTTTGCCGCGCTGAGGCACGCTCATTTCATCAAGTGGAAAGCACTAACTGCTAATGGGGGTGTCAGAGTATCCGTGTTTCACAGGTAACCGTCTGTCTTCAGAACACCCCCCTTGTATTCACCTTTTTTGGATTAGCCCAACCCAAGAAAGAACGATAAGTAGGCTATAGAAGGTTTGATACTGTATATTATTTATTTAATTGTGAGAGCGTTTAATAGTCAGTCCTCTTCTAACATGTCAACAACAAAGAAATTGACAGTGTGGCAGCATTTTGTTAAAATTGATAACGGGAAAAAGGTCGAATGCAAAGTTTGCAAGCAACAGTTTTCCACAGCTCGATGACAAACATGACATATCATCTAAAAATGGTAAGCTCACTTGTCTGCGTTAGCTTGCCCTGTCTGTTTTGAGTAGGCTATATGAACATATCAGAATTTGCATATTTCAATGTTTTAGTGTGATAACCTAACTTTTTTTTTTTTTTTTTTGGAGCCTAATGCGCAATTGCGCTGTGCTTGTGTTAGTTTTGAGCCTAAGATGCTTTATTTTTCAGTTATGCACTTTATTTCGTTTCTGCTCTTGATCTGGTTTGTTTAATAAATATTCTTTTTTTATTAAAGTGGACGTGCCTTTTGTGTTTATTAAGAGTAAAAGCTTTAAGTTAATAGTCTATTTGTGTCTCAGCCGCGAAGCTGAGCTCCTAAAGCCCGCTCGGTGCGAGGACATGCACAGAGCGGCTGAAATGATAGTGTCTGACAGTTATAACTTATTATTATAACATATGACATAAATAATTGTCTAAATTATGTTGAATATTCCTCAACAGTTCTTGTGATATCACTAGTTGACAACATAGTACTATTTTCAGAAATCATAGGCTATGATATTGCGCAGGTGCACATTATGCAACGCTGTCAGAGCCGACAGACTCGTGTGTCAGACTTATTTCAGTGCAAAATAATTCGGTCAAAAACGATTTAATATACTGCAAATAGCCTACTAGTTTTTTATGTTTATTTATAATTCATTTAGGTGTTCAACAAGGCTACCAAGTACTGCGCACTGTGCGCAGCTAATTCATTTAACGTTTTTTTTTTTTCTAACGTCATTTTTAGTCGATTTTCAGTCGAAAATTTCAGGACTTCAGTCGACGAAGATTTTCTTTGGTTGAGTACAGCCCTAGAAAGTACCTCATCTAGCACAGTAAATGGAGGATGAGAAGAGAAAGGAGGTGAAACAAAGTCTTAAAGAATCAGCTAAGGGCACCTTACTATTTTCTACACATCGCACATTAAGAAAAAAAGATGGAGGACAGAAACAGGAGACTGCGGATTACAAGGTGAAAAAGGGGTCAGCGGCTGGATCTGAGCATGACTCTGCTCGTCACAAGGCTCTGGAGAAACACATTAAATCAATTTTCCTACACACACAGCACCCATGTTTACCCTGGTGACAACGGTGCTGATGAGAGCATTAAGATAAAAAACCCTGCAATGACGAAAAAAACGTTGCTCAGAAACCCAGGTCTTGATTCATATTTCTGCAGTAAAACGGACTCTTTAATGAAATGCAAAAAAAAAGGGCACTCTGCCTTTCCATGGCGGACTGAGAATTAAGCTCGCAGTGGATTTATCATCTCTCTTTAGACCATAATCTATACAGAGCCTCTGGCAAAGTCTTAACCCCATATTTTCTAAGGAAATGGGATAACAAAAGCAACAACAAATGGCAAAAATGTGTTACTACTGACTGTAATTGATTTCTCTTCTAACAGGTTTAAAGCTGACCACCCAGTTGTTTCGCTTTGAGAATTTAACCCCAATTAACTTCTCAAAGGGCTAGAATTGATATTCCATGTCACTTCAAATAAATAAAAAGCCTATCAGGAAATGTGAACGACAAAGGCAGAAAGCATAGAGAAAAATAGGCTTGAAATTCAATAAGTGAAATATCATCATAAATTACTGTCATGTCACTTAGTGACAAAAAATACCTCTAAACATTTCTGCATCTCTGAAATACAATAACTAATCCAGTAAATTCCTATGTAATTATTGTCACATTTGATTGGTAAGTGAATGGGTCCTCACAGACGGTGCAGAGAAGAACACTATTTCTAGTTTTCTGTCAATGTGGCTGACAAATTAACTTATTTTATACAAGATAGAGTTGCTGTTTGTGAAGTCAGAGCAAAGTTGTTTCATCAATCAGCATAGAAGGAAAAATGCATATGTACCATTAACTGAATCAAACATCATGAAAACCTCTTGTTTCCTATATTTCTTTTAAAAACTGCACTATTTTCAATAAGAACCTGTTTTAAAGCAGCAGTCCATACCTTTTTTTGAGTTCAAAATGTACAAAATTTATATAAGGTAGTACATCATGAATCCATTTTTGTCTTATCCTGAGTCACAACTGTACACCTATATTAAGTGTTTATATTCAGGCTATTTTAGACTGGTAAGGTAGTACCACAGCGGAGTAGCCCAGTACCTGCATGACTCGTCATAGATATAAACAGAGAAGTAACTCCGGCTACAATGTTTCTCCGCAAGATGCATGCAGTTCTGTTTATTTAAAAGTTACGGACTAGCTTTAAATTCCCAATTTGATTTCCATACCCTTTAAACATTTTATTTCCACGATTTTTCCTGATTTTTGATACTGGATAAGAACGAAAAGGATAATATCTTCATAAATATTTCTCAAAGTGCAATTCCTTGCTGATATATGAAATATTTAAAAAATGAATGCGAAATAACCATGACTTCTCCAGGCCTGGAAATCAATTTTAAAATTCTTTTCAAATAACTTTGACAAGGAGTTCCATTATGGCAGCATGGGACAGAAAACTAGGACAAACTTTTTTCGAGGAATGTAGTTAATTACAAAGAACTGGCTGTGAGCTTTTAGCGACCTGACCTTATGTCCCAACAGAGCAAAAAGGATTAGATCAGGGTGAAAACATGAGAGGTTCTTATCTCAGAGAAGAAACTTTTATGAGGTTAACGCACCTCATGTGATAGGCTGTGGTCTATCACAGCCAGGTATTTAAGCAAGTATAGACTTAAAAAACATCCAGTGTCTCTGTGCTAAATCAAATACTTGTTCACAGTACAGAAAGCATACATCAGAGATTTACAATGATGAGAACACAGTACTCCCATTTTTCACTCTCTCATCTGATTGAAACAATGGAGTCAATATGGCAATCGCCATCTCTTAAAAAAAAAAGTCATAGATATTAACATTACAATAATAAACTCTCTCCAACCAAACAAGACCAAGTTAGGTAAATAAAACTAAATAAATAAATATTAATTTGTTTAATCATTTAATTTAGAAAAATAAGTTAAATTATTTCTAAACTAAAATTATTTTGCTGCGATATTCAAATTGGCATTTACAATTGTGAAATTTCTCTGTTACTGGTCTCATCCACAACGTTGGTATTGTGACAACCGCACTCCCACATACATGCCAGAAAAAAAAATTGAAATAGGCAGCAGACAAGGTCAGACTTATTATGCAGCTTATCTAGTATAATCTCTTAATTATTAGGCTCAGTAAATGGAGTCCTGCTAATCTCCATTCTTTATCTCCAGCGCTGAATGTGAGTAATGCTTAAGCACACACCTTGTGAAGATGGGAAGGGCATTACAATGTGTGATTAATGAGCAAAGAAAAAAGTAACAGTGTAACTAAATGACTGCATCCCTGTGTCTTTTGTTTTAGAACATGCACCACGCAGGACTGACTGATTACCAACTAATCAGATGAACAGACAATTAAGGTGATGCTCTACAAGACACTTTAGAGGGATTCCTAAATAGGCTCATATTTATGTCTCAACTATTTAATTTTCTGCTTTTGGCACCAAAAAAAATTGTTTTTATATGCCCATTTTGCACCCGCGCGGGAGATCAGCAGAAGAGAAAAGAAAAAACTGCCGTTGCAATGGCGTTCAAGTGCGTGAATAGTGGTTAGCGCTCCACTTAATAAAGCAGCATCGAACGGCAATTACACTGAATCGTTCTTCTTCAGAGCGTTGACTTGTCAATGTTGGAACAAGCCCAACAGAAGTTGCTCGCTATAGAAAAGCACCTCATCAGCGGACCGAATCACAAGCTGCGATTGTAAACGCGCAAACAACTCCGCTGCTTTGCGTGTTCCGTTGAGAAGACGAACAAGAAGCTGAGCTCGTGACGTGAGGCGCTGTCAAAAGCAGTTTATATATATATATATATATATATATATATATATATATATATATATATATTTATTTATTTATTTATTGTTCATCCAAAGCATCACTGAAATGTTTAAATATTTTTGTTTAGTTAAATTAAAAGTTAAGTTCTGTATTATTATTCTCTTACTGTTATATGAAATAATGACATTACAAAGTGAAACTATTGCAGGTGTTTTTACATCTGTGCAGTTTTGCATATACTACGTCGTTAAAAAGTTAATAACGTTATTATTATTAAAACTTCCTTGTGTCATTTAAATGTATGTAGCCTATACAAATCAGTTAATTTGAACCGTTATTATTATAGTAATGTACCAACTGGGGCTCCCAGTATAGTTTACAGCATTAGTTAAAAAATGTGTCATGTACTGTAACTGATATATACTTATCGAATGGAAATCAGAATTGAATTAAGCTAGTGAATCGAAATCGAATCGTAAAATGTGTATACCCAGGCACCCAGCCCTGATACATTAAGGCTTGATCTAGCTCAGCACTGTTTTGAATATTGTGACAAAATAAGGTATTATAAGAGAGGAAATGTTGTGAATTACAAAATGAATAGTTTATCCAAAAATAAAATGTCATAACTTTGCATTATTTTGTTCCATATTCATGACTTACAATAACTGTTTGAATGATGCATTATTCTTATATCTTCTTACCTATACAGTTACATAAATGGTGAATGTCTCTCTGCCTGTTGTCTCATTTTGTGTGCAAAAATATTTATTTTGTATTGTAAAAAATAATTGTATAATAAATGTAATTGTAGTGCTGCCACTAACGACTAATTTTCTAACGACTAATCTTTCGACTAATTTTTCGATTAGTCGACTAATCTAAACGACTAATTTAAAAAAATTAAATTAGAAATTAAAAAATTAAAAAAAGTCCATTTTATTTTGAACTCAACTGAAGGTCCAAAATATAAAATATCATCTGTTGAAAAACATTATGTATTAACAATCTAAGCATAAGTATCTGCATTTCCATTAGGCTATACCATATTAGTCAGTCAGTCAATCAATCAATAATTTATTTATAGAGCACATTTACGACACAACCAAGGTTGACCAAAGTGCTTTACAAAGATTAAAAGACACACAGACCTAGCATTTATAAATACAAACAAAAATAGGTAATCAATAAAAATTCATTTTCAAACAAAAGGTAGCTATATAGTGTTAAAAGCCAAAGAGAATAAATAAGTCTTAAGCTGAGTTTTAAAAGTGGAGATAGATGGAGCATGCCTAATCGACAGAGGAAGGCTGTTCCACAGCCTCAGTCCAGCGGCGGCAAAGGAACGGTCACCACGTTTTTTTAATTTCACTTTAGGGACAGTTAGAAGGCCATGGTCACTGGATCTCAGGTTTCTAGATGGGGTATGTGGTACCAAGAGATCAGTTAGGTATTGCGGTGCTAGATTGTTAAGGGGGCTTTGTAGACGAATATCGTAGTCCTTTGTAGTCCTAATCTAATCCTCTATTAACAAACATGCATGTATTCATTACTTAAATTAGCTCTTTGTTCTGCCTTAAATTAATACATACATTTTTATATGTACATTTCTGAATGCATAACTGATAACATCACTCTGAATTGTAGGCTAAAGTAGATGCAATGCATGCATTTTAGGTAAAGCTGCTTTGAAACAATATGTATTGTGAAAAGCGCAATACAAATAAATTGGAATTGAATTGAAAGAGTGGACTAGCCTACTACGCTTAGCTCTGCCTTATAATGAATCGTGCTGAAAGCAGGCAGGCACGCAGCTATGCAGCTTGCGTTTACACTTGCGTGCATGCCGGGCACGTGCCGCGGTTCGCGTGAATGTGAAAGCAACACGGACTCGGGTGCGCGTTTTAGCTGATTATGTATTTAATTAAATAAAACACATGTAAGGGATGATAGTGTTGATTATTTACCTTGGAAACGAGCGAGAGCGAGTCTGCAGTGTATTCGCGCTTAGCGCGTGGAATAAGGGCAACAAATTTGGAAAAGTCTCTCCTCAAAAGAGTCCGTTTGCAAGCAGCAGAAGGCCACCTTATGCGACACACGCACCTGTGTTGTTCACTCAGCTGCGCATAATAGCACAGAATAATAAAAAATATATATATATTGACCCGCGTTCTGTTTTCTATCATGCGGCGTTCACGTTTGCGATGGCGTAAGATGCACGCAAACACACAAGGGTTCGGTAGAATTAAGTTGAGTGTGAAACCAGACCAATGCTGCGGGGGCACCGGGAACAATCGTGCTCAGACCGCAGCAAACGAGCCCAGTGTGAAAGCACCGTCACCTGCCTCCGCAATTTTTCATATCAAAGCAGTGAAGGCGGGGGAGGGGGAAGGAAGAGGATGGCAGATTAACCAGCAGGGCGCACACAGACTGGTGTGTGGAGGTGAATTACAGTGAGCCGTTTGAGACGGGAGACCAAAAATAAATATGCGGTCAATAGTAAAACGACACGTCGACTAAAAAAAAATTGGCGTCGACTAATTTGCATGGTCGATTATGTCGACTAATCGCGGCAGCACTATGTAATTGCATACAATAATTGTTTGTAGATAACTATTTTAGCCTTCTATGTGTCCTGAAGTAAATGCCCCTTTCTTTCTGTTTCAGTTCTAAGCAAAGCAGTTGGCATTTTGATGACCAGAAGGAGATTGGTCTGTTCAGCTGGCTCGAAGTTCATTAAAAAGACATTTTCAAAAGCTGAAGTTACTGCTTTGTGTTATTTATTAATTAGAATGGATATACTCAATATTTTAACTAACTGCAAAAGCTGAATAATCGATCAGCCTACTGATTAATCAGTGAAATAATCGACAATTCAACCATCGCGGGAGATTGATTGACAGGTGATCTGACCAATTATAACCAGACAGGAGAGTTAGTAGATTAACGTCAGTGAACTCGAAAAATGCAGTGCAGTTGAAACATACGTGTATCTTCTGATGTTTATTTAGGTTAATTTCGTGTTATAGCAAGTAGGAAGAGATGATTGTTCAAGTGCCGCTTGAACTGAAGCGCTACAGTGATCTGTCACGACACATTAAAGAGCCATTAAATGGCATTTATTGTCTGAATTTCTTAGGAAATTAGAGGAAAATTTAAAAGCAGATACTGTTTCATAAAAGTGACCTGCTCTGTCTAGTCTGTCGACGCGTTGTCAGTGTCCTCTTTGCTCTGGAACGTATTTTTCACGCCGTGAGAACATGTGTGGCAACAGTAACTAAAAAAGGGCGAAACTTTGCAAAGGGTCAAAAAAAAAAAAAAAGGAATACTGGGAAATTGTTACAATTTAAAATTCCACAAAAATATTGCTTTCAATATTTGGGACCCTCATTATGCTACCGTGTTAACGTGGGGCTATTTTGAGCCTTGTTAGTGGTATTAACTAGCGATTTTTATTTTTACTTACTCTATGCCCTATATACTAGCGTTATAAGCTAATCTGTGGTTCGAGCTAAAACTGGGTACATTCGATTATCATGAAACCACATCCCAGAGAACGGTCGACTCGGTACCCATTTGTTATTAACCCCTAGGTTCATTTTGCGCCGGAATTGTCCTTTAACATAAAAAAATCTTAATTATTCCAAACTTCTGACCAGTAGTGCACGTATAAAAGTTTGTTATGTTACAGTAAATGTACATAATGACCTTTAATACATTTTATAGTAAGCTTTGGTTATGTATAAATGTGTGCAACCATGTGTTTGGGGTTTCTGACAATAGAAATCTGATGATTTCAGAATGAGCCGCTTTAAAATTATTAAAAAAATATATATATAATTAAATATACATTTTAAATAAATAAAATATATAATCAAAGTTATGTAGATAAATAAATAAATAAAAAATATAATGAAGTAATTTTTTGGAAATGTATTCTAATGTAGTCTCTACACAGACGACAAAATAAATCTCTTTGAGAGTCAACTAAATGTTTGGGCAACATACTTTGTCTCCATGGCCCAAGTGCTCATTCTTGACTTCCGCCAGGGTCTTCCAGTTCGTGTTTCCACCACCACCAGGTCCTCTCAATTCAGTCATCGACTGTCCATCCAAAGCATGTCCTTCCTTATCATACCTGTTTAAAAATAAAAATAGATTTTAATGCTGTCAATCATCAGAAAAATAAATCAGTCAGACATCTGTTCGTCTCTACATACAAGGCAATACCTCGTCTGTTCAGGCAGATAAGTAGCTGATATCTTAACTAGATCTACAGAGACTGAAAGAGGCATTGACTAGCTAGGGAGATACAAGCAAACAACAGCAGCGGTGGATGCAGAGGTGCTGGGGGCTACTTGTGAAACGAATCAAGTGTAGGAATGGTTCAGGGACATGGGGTCAGGGCTGGAATGGTGAAATCAGAAACCCATTTTCACTGACGCTCCAGAGTGGCTGGGAAGGAAAAGAGAGAATAACAAAAAACAAAGCTCTCTCAGGATGAAGCCGTGTGTCTGAGGAATCGATATAGCATTATAATCTAGAGACCGTAGGACTGGGTACCAGAGGGGTAGGACGGGTGGATCGGTAAATACAAGGGTTAAGGGCTTGTTCTGGGATGCACGACTAATTGAAAATATCCACATTAAAAGACAAGCGTGTGGCCCTGGATGAATGGGCTGCGTATTTTTTCCAACTGAAAAATGGGCTTAATTGTAAAGCGCAGTCTCTCACCTATGCTTTCAGCTTCTTTGTTATATCACCACACTTGCGAAATTCCCCAAATAATTCCCTTAAATATAGCGCTAGTCGTGCGTTACAAAAAGGATCAACCTACTTATGATTAAAAATATTTTTTTTGTCCCCACCATTTCCAGCACGATTCAATGAATAGCAGATATTCAGAAAAGTCAGGCCTGTTGTCAAGTGTATTCATACAGTGAGAAAAGTGATACTATGCTGGAATAAAGACAAACTAATTGTGATTCATAAAAATAAACAATACAGCAGAATAAAACAAACGCTTTTCACATAGACAAGACCTGATGGTGTGTGGTAATTGGCTGACTGAGCTCGAATGTATGGATGACGGGCAGTGCCATCGAGGAAGGCAGAATGAACACCAGAGGAGCAAATTGGAAATGGCATGTGCTTTAGAGCAGTGGAGTGACAGGCTGGCGCTCAGTGCAGCGTGTCTGAACTGAGCAGACAACAAGAGGAAAGCAGCGAGATTGAGCACTGAACGGAGTGTCACATGTCAGAGGACATGAAATACTTGTGACTGGAATAGTAAGAGGCAAAAAAATAATAATACGCATGAATCTATCAGGGTCTGCCATTAATAAGGTCTTGGTTTAACTAGGTCCTTCACCTAAAAGAAGTAGATAATTAACGTACTGATCAAAACCAAATATACAATGCATGTCATAAAAGGGACCAGGGGCATTATGCACATAGTATTTTGGAGGGGGCAACACTCATGTGGGGGAAAAACCCAAATAAAAAAAGGGTTATTCTTTAGAATAAAACTTTACTTTAGCTTTCATTGTAATAATATCCGATTATACTTTTGAATTATCAAAGCGAGAACATACATTAGGCCTATTGATGCATTTACTGTCGCTATTCCAGAATATTAAGAATATTAGGACTATAAATCCTGCATCGATTCAGTCTTACATGTATTTTGTAGCTTATAGAAACAAACTAATTTAAAGCATAAGCACTGACACCACAAGGCAAATTATTCATGCAAAAATTCATTTTGCATGAATTATCTACTACGAAATTCGAACACTTTGGGGTACTATTAATTTTGTACTACCTGCAATATTAAGTTTAAAGTAAAGTTTCCAATGTGTATATTGGATATCAGTGAATATTTTACAAACTATACATGCTTTTTGCTAGTTATCTGTATTTAAATGTCGAAAACAAAAAAATAAACATTACATGGTTGAAAACACTGAACAGTTGTGATATATAACGAGACTTGAGCGTGTCCGCCTCTGGCTCAGCCAAAGCATGAAAGCAGATTTGAACTTAGTAATTGATAATGTGAAGCACAGCAGTGCGATTGTATGCTTCAAAGAGTTAATTATCGAATGTAAAAATAGTATTATTTGTCTTTTGGAAGCTGCATTCAAATCCATGAGGCTCAAAAATCTGAAGGGGGCGTGTGCCCCCTCGTCGGAATGGGCATGACACCTCTGCATGAGACCATTTTGTTTTTCTTCAATGGAGACAAACCTGACATTACAATCCAAAGCCATAATTTCAATTGAACATTAGTGACGTTTTAGATTTTTAAATAAGATACCAGTAAAACAAACTACTTGCGTTTCAGTTTGATTCTCACACAAAGGCTTCAGAAGAGAATATAAACACACCAGACGTATGGACTGCTTTCATGGAGCTTTGCAGTATAAATCCTCTTCTGCTGTATGGAAAAGAATAAACATTCTGCCCAAGATCTCCTTTTGTGTTTCACAGAAGAAAACAACACTGGGTTGGAACAACATGGGGGTGAGTAAACGATAACGTTTTCATTTTGGGGTTAAAAATTCCTTTGACCTGGAAACAGCACGGCAGCCAACGTTCTCTTAAAGCTTATTGTACAGTACAATAGCGTTCCCCAGGGAGAACTTTGGTCATGACAAGTGAGCCAAGCGGACACCACCCAAAATTCCTTTAAACAAAACGGAGTCACTGAGACTCATGACCCTCGCTTAATATCTCACATTGAGTTTGATGGAGATATCTAATGTAGGTACGGCAGGTCCAAGCACAGACAGACTCCTGGGTGTGCGTTAGGGCTGTAACGATACGCGATATAAAATCGAAATCGCGATACTCAGGTCCACGATCCTGTATCGCGATGTGAGAAGGCAGAATCGCGATCACACCCCTTCCAACTCCCAGAATTATCCTTCCTGTCCAGAACCAGGGCTCGAATTTCGGCACGGGAATGCGGGTGCATAATTCTAATCATTCCCGCAGGTCTCCCATTTATAATGCGGGAAATTCCCGCAATCGTAATCCACACAGATAATAAAATCAAATCATTCTTTTAACAACTATCTTCCAGACGCAATTTCACAAACAGCGTGAGTGTTCAGCGGTGCCGCGTCTTCTCTTCTCATAATGTGTTGTGCAAGGCAGGCATCAAGCGCTGCGGCGATCATACACACTCGCGTTTTGGAGTCGGGACCATAGACTGTAAGGTCGGGACATGACGGAATATTCACTTGCACAATCGGGCCAGCAGTGCATCGTGACTGAAGTCTTTTTAAGTCTTACCAGTTTAAACATTCAAGCGATTTTAAACTAATCAGTGCTCGCGCGCTCTCTGAGATTATTTTCTATGCGCACATTCATAGAAAATCCGCCTCAAAAACAGCTTGCCAGTAACTATTTTTCGCAGATTATATTGCTTTAACACGCAAAATTGTCAATTTCGGTCTTTGTGAGTAGGCTATACTCTAAATATAGTCGGTTTTGTCTTTAATAAGCATAAAACGCATGCCAGTATAATGAACACAGGATCCGTGCACTAGCTCTTAAAGTGACGGCAGCCATATGTGTCTGTCATTAATTTTGTTGTCAAAACAACAAAAGATGGCTTTAAGTTAAAGGAATCAGGATTAATAGCCTATGTATTTAATTTATTCAGGACTAAAATACTACCCAGTGTTATTTTACATTTGATTACTTTATTCAGTATCTGTATATGAATACTAGTGTTAGACCTATTCAAAAACTTTTCTCTTTAATTGTCTTTATTTGTATCTTTATTCTATTGTATTTATTTGTGCTACTTTTTTCAATTTAATTAAACAATTTAAATCAAGCTTCCTTGTGATGTGTAAATTCTTAACAACAATAGGCTATTACCCCATTGTAAAAATGCAATGAGCGCAAACATTTAGGCAAGATAAATGTAATAATTTTGTTTGGAAAAAATGCCCCCCCTTTCTCCCCCTCAAACAAAAAAAATCCCCCCCATGAGAATCATCTAAGGGGGGATTTAGTATAGTATAATAATTTGCATAGTTATTATTGTTCTTTGGTGTTTAGATTATACAGGTTTTCCTAATGTTATTTAATAAAAATACCGGTATTTTTTTTCTTCTCTCAAAATCTCTTTTTTCCACCACAAGCCCCGCCCCCTCAAGCCCCGCCCCCGTGATAGAATCACGATACGAATCGAATCGTGGGTCAAAAATCGTGATACGAATCGAATCATGGGTTTGGTGTATCGTTACAGCCCTAGTGTGCGTTGCTTTATTCCGCATGCTGGTTTGAAGGCTCTGACAGGTGGGGTGGAGGCAGGAGAGGTTTCACTGACTCTGAGAAGACTGTCGAAAATGAGCCAGTCAGAGTAATTGGCAACCTATGAGTAAGAGTGCATCAGTGAACGAGAAAGAATGATAATGAACAGGGTGAGAGTGACGGGAGGCATGACCGATGGTGGAGTGTGAAGTCCACTCAGCAGGAGCAGCAGATTGAGAGTGTTTCTAATCTCTGACGCCATCTATTGGACAAAATAATGTTTGCATCATAATGCTGAGATATCCATTACCTAGCAGCATTAAGGGTTAGTTTATATGCTTATGGAAGCTTTGACCAAATGTGTAAACTGACTGCTAGACTAAAACCAACCGAGGCAAGCAGTAATGACCAACATGGGTTTTCCCCAATTACCGATATAAGAACTGGGTCCAGGTGCAATGTGCATATTAAGACAGACACCATTTGACCAATGAAGTTCCAAGCATTTTTCTGTCATTACCGATGACAAAGAGCAATTGTTTGCCAATTAAATATTTTAGAGCTGAGCATAAAAAGAAATATATATATTTACTATAGAAATGACTATGACTTTCCCAGGCTCGGAAACCGCAAATTTAAAATGTCTTGATATATCGGGGAGTGACCAAAAGAGAATTACACAAAACTGACATTTATTTACTCAAAACCATATTTACACATGTGTGTAAACAAAACCATGTGTCTCAACAGACATTTGATCATTAATGGATTTTTAACATTAAATAAAAATCACAGAAGTAGGCAGGAACATGCATTAAACTACATATTCCTTAAATTCCTGCACTATAACTTTCGAAGAAATGAAAC